TAATCTATGTCTTGAATTAAATTTATACCTGATTTACCTTTAGAAATTAGAAAATTTCATATATCATTCATGAAAGTACAAATGTAGCCCTATCATTTGCAACAATAAAAACATAGGGTCATGCGGCATTTTTGGGCCTTCACATGGCCTTGTTTACAAACACTGTAGATTCGCACTTAATTCCTTAACTGACCCCCATTACTTTTCAACCCTGTAGTAAAAAAATTTAGTACATTCAGCATTTATTTTTTATTTTTTTTCAACTCTAGTTTTTATCCATCTATCAAAAAATATTTATTACAAACATTATCTACCAATCAGAAGAGCACATGACTTCAGTTTTATACAGAAAGCTCTCCCCCAAATGGGCGGTCCCTGATGACGTATATTTATTTACTGAATTTACCCCTGAATTTGTGAGAAACTATTTTGATCACTTTTTATCCCCTTTTCAAGAATCAAAATATCAAAATTCAATAGCAGCTGCCTATATCATTACAGGGAACAGTGGTAAAACCTTTGTAACGATTAATCAATTATTGGAAAAATTATTTTATTGAAACTTTCTCTGATTAAAGACAACAGACACATATAACAGTCATTCCATTGAGTGGAGAAGAGATGCAGAACACTAACAAACGTTATCTTTTAGATAGTACAGACCATTTGCTTTGTATAGATGCTTGATATGCCGGTTTTGGTATACATTGTATAAACTTTGGTGAGTGGTATGGTTAGAAAAGACTTCTAAATTAAAATAAACTGTTGACACAGAGATATGTCTCGCCTGTCGGCATAAAATTCAGAAAAAGAAAATCTGATGGACAGCAACATTGCTAATTAATTCAAAGTCGCTGGACCAACAATTGGGCAGGGTATTGAAATGGTTGACTGAGATGTACAGACAGCAATGTAACTTTATAGAAAATAGTGTTGTCTATTGTAAGTAGTTCCTATCAAACTAACTTAGGCAGAAAATTAACATTGAAAATTTTTAAGTAATTGAAAGTCACTGAGCCATGACATAGTGGGCATGGCCTCAAAATATTCCTCGAACTGATATGTACTGATAGTAATGCAACTTTATAGAAAATATCATTGATCTATCACGAGTAGTTCCTATCAAACTAACTTTAGCAGAAAACTTTTAAAACATTTAAAATTGCTTATTAATTGAAAGTCACTGAACCATGGCACAGGGAACAGGGCCTCAAAATAGTCGTCAAACTGATATGTACTGATAGCAATGCAACTTCATTCAAAATATCATTGATCTATCACAAGTAGTTCCTATCAATCTAACTTAACAGAAAACTTATTGAAAATTGCTACTTAATTCAAAGTCACTGGACCGTGGTGTAGGGGGCAGTGCCTCAAAATAGTCGTCAAACTGATATGTACTGATAGTAATGCAACTTTATACAAAATATCATTGATCTATCACAACGAATTCCTATCAATCTAATTTCAACAGAAAAATTAACATTGAAAAATGCTTATTAATCCAAAGTCACTGGGCCATGGGCTTGGGGACAAAATAGTCGTCAAACTAATATGTACTGATAGTAATGCAACTTCATACAAAATATCATTGATTCCTATCAAACTAACTTAAGCAGAAAACTTAACAATGGTTGATGCCGTCACCTTCCCCGCAAAAGCAATCCCTATGTCTCGCTCTCCGCGACTCTCGTCGCAGGCGAGAGAACTAGACTCCTAGGAGTTGGAACTTCGCTTACATTACAATCTTTAAATTACAATCTTTAAATGACTCTAATTGCTCAAGATAAAAATAACTGTTGACAAGTTTCGGAAATTTGCTTTCCGTTAGATGGGACTCATATAGAGAGTCTGCATGCATCATCCCGTCAATATTGGGTCAAATTCAGAAAAAAAGTTCAGATAAAAATAGAAGAGCAAAGGACAGGGTTGTGGAAGTTGCGCCACTTAAAACAAAGAAACTATCCTTAAATGCAAAAGCCCAAGAGAAGTCGATTCTTCCGAATGAATAGTTTTTAATTGGGAAGATTGTAGCACCATCCCTGACAAAGGCCTATAGTTATTTCAGAACGATGAGTAACACGAGTAACAAGGAATGGAGTCTACAAATGCTAAAAATATGGACATCAACAAAGCAGCAGGACTAGATGAAATATCGACCAAAATACTACAAACAGCTGCAGAACCAGCACAAGCACTGACCAGATTTGCTAATTTTTTAGGAATACAAGAGTGCACACGCTGAAATGTCTCGCCTTCTTTACTGACCATTGATTTTATGTTCATAGTCCTAAATATAAAGCTTTTCTAAAAGTATCACATAAACTTAACATGATCCAAGAAAATGAGGTCAAGGTCAGATAAACTAAACCGGAAATACATGTTCACCAGTGACCTTACAATCATTCAATACACCAAATATAGTTGACCTATTGCTTATAGTTTCTAAGAAACAGACTAAAACAGGAATCTAAACATTGACCAATGAACCAAGGCTAGATGGACCATGCCAGACAGACATGTACACCTAAAAATCAATCTATGCATTAAATATAGTTGACCTATTGCTTATAGTATCTAAGAAGCAAATTTAACCATGAAAACTTAACATTGACCAATGAACCATGGAAATGAGGCCAAGGTCAGATGATATCTGCCAGACAGACATATACGCCTTACAATCATTACATACAACAAATATAGTTGACTTATTGGTTATATTTAAAGAAAAAACAGACCAAAACACAAAAACTAAACACTGAGCAATGAACCGTGAAAATGAGGTCAAGGTCAAATAAAACCTGCCAGACTGACATGTACATTGTAAAATATTTCCATACAACAAATATAGTTGACCTATTGCATATAGTATTAGAAAAAAAAGACCAAAACACAAAAGCTTAACTTTGACCACTGAACCATGAAAATGAGGTCAAGGTCATATGACACCTGCCAGTTGGACATGTACACCTTACAATCATTTCATACACCAAATATAGAAGAAATATTGCTTATAGTATCTGATATATGGACCGTTGAACATGCAAACTTAACCTTGTTCACGGATCCATGAAATGGGGTCGAGGTCAGATGAAAACTGTCTGACAAGCGTGAGGACCTTGCAAGGTACCCACATACCAAATATAGTTATCCTATTACTCATAATAATTAACATTATAAAAAATCAACTTTTTTCAAGTAGTCAATGAACCATGAAAATGAGGCCAAGGACAATGGACATATGACAGACGGAAACTTCATAACACAAGGCATCTATATACAAAGTATGAAGCATCCAGGTCTTCCACCTTAGAAAATATAAAGCTTTTAAGAAGTTAGCTAAAGCCGCCGCCGCCGGATCACTATCCCTATGTCGAGCATTCTGCGACAAAAGTCGCAGGCTCGACAAAAACTACTTATTCATAGCCCTATTGCTTTCTACGTTAAATTCTGCATTTTCAAGCATCCGTAGCTACAGTCATTTCGTGTCAAAACTATACCTTATACTGACTTAATTCAACATACCTTTAATTGCATACTAGAGCCAGAGAAAAATAATATGATTCTCTGCTAGAGCGCACTGGTTCTCGGAAGTTTGGTAGTACAAAAACAGGAACTTCTGATCCCAGCAACAGGGCAAATATGCCCTCCTATTCAAATGTCATATACTTTTTTATTATTAGAAACTTCCCAAAGGGTTCTACAGTAATCCCAAGTCATTAAGCTTTCATTTGATACAAAAATTACCAAATGTTTTACTTATTGACAAAGTCACAGCTATATGCGTAGGAACTATTTTGTTTAAAATATGCACTACTCTCTAGTGTTAGTGGTTACCTATAACAGAACCAAACTTGCTATATTGATTTCTGCTTTACTTCATTTCGTTATTTGATCTATTTCTAGCAAGAAAACACAAAGCTTTTTTCCAAACACTATTCCACTGAATTCAAGCTCAAATTGGACTGGTAGTAACATATAAGTGTCATACGTTATAAAATGAAAATTGCATATGACATAATGTGACCAATGAGAGACTCTTTCCATTATTATCAGTTCTAATTTGTTAATATCTAATCGATTATCAATTTTCTTACCTAAATGTCTTATTTTTATCAGATTGTTTATTAAATATAAATAAAGTAGTCAAAACAGAAAATTTAATTGAGAATTTTGTCCCCCCCCCCTTTTTTCTGCAAGTTTGAAAAGGTTTTTTTTTGTTAAAAAAAAACATACTTATACTAATAAATTGGATCGACAAGAGAAATATGAGGATCTCACAGCCAGAAAACTTGCTAAACTGGTTGAATCGATCTTATAGATTAAAAATATATGTTATCGTCGTTTTACCTGTTTAAGAATGATTTTTTGTGGGCCGGATCAATCATGTAAATGGTTATTCCTGGTGTCTCCCTAGCTTCACTTTTCAATGTTGACATTCTTTTCTTTTTGATGAATGAAAAACATGCTGAACACAGGTACAACCCATCCACTAATGGCCAAAACTAAAATAACAAAAATACCGAACTCCAAGGAAAATTCAAAACGGAAAGTCCCTTTTCAAATGACAAAATCAAAAGCTCAAACACATCAAACGGATGGAAAACAACTGTCATATTCCTGACTTTGGTACAGGCAAATTAAAGGTTGCATGACAGACAGAAAGTGATGACAATAGCTCACATATGGTCTTTCAGGCCGAGTGATGCTAAAAATGTAATGTTCATCAAATTATTATTTGATTTTCTTCTACAAAGGAACAAGGATATATAAACATAGCATGCTGACACCATCATGTATATAAGTAGAGACATATAGTGTACTATAATACATGTATCTCTCAGATATGTCAAATTAGTATGCAAGATTTATAGTTTTCAAGGAGGGGTCATACAAATTTAAGATAACTGACTGTAAAAGATACAATACTATTTAAATATATTTTTTTTTATCACTCCCTAAATCAATTCTTGTTAAGTTTGATAACTAAAACAAATACAAACATCATTCAATGCTTTATTGATACCGAATTCACTAACTGTGATGTGTTAAAAATGTTTACATACATTTTGAGCTAGACAGATTACAAGTCCTACCCAGAATGTGTTGTTGTCTAACTTCACATACAAACCTTAAAGAGTAACTTAGTACATCAATACTGGATTAAATCTAATGGTATCACTTTATTTGATTTACTTCAATTTACTCCAGGAATTCGATGAACTCTTCAGTAATATCTGAAATTCTAATTTCTATACTTTATCCTGATACATAAAAGTACATCAAGCAAAATTAAACTATTAAAAGAAGTTGAAATTTGATAACAGTAGACACAACTGTTCCTGTAATTCTATAAAACTAACAAGTAAATACCAAACATAATGATATGTAACATTTTCTTTAAAAATTCATTTTTTTTATCAGGCTTTCTTGTGTACTGTAACCAGTTTTTTTTCCCTCGCTTTTGTCAACTTTTAGTGTGATTTTGGAAAAACATATATTTTAAAACTACTCCTTTTTTCAGAAGAAAATGGCACAATTTTGTGAAAAACAACTAGTATATTAGACTAAAATCAAAACATTAGGCAACCACTAAAACCATTTATTTTTCTTACCATATTTCTTCTAAAAATAGAAACAGGCTAGCATTATTTCTATGTCTCATTTTTTATCTGAATTTACAAATAACTGATTTGATGCCATTGCCTTAAATATGCCAAGGAAACAACGTGTAAATATATTCATTTGTTTTGTGGATTTAGGAGAGAAAGCATTGCTGCAATAGTATTTTTATTTGAAAATTACAAATTTGATAAAAGGGAGCAAATCTTAGCAAAAAAAGAGGTGATGAATTAGGAATTATATGTTTTTGATATTTTAATCAATTTCAAAAAGTTTTTTTTTTTCCTTTTCATACATTTCATATGAAAATCCAGACACATACCTTTTTCTGCCTATAATGTAGATTTTTTTAATGTGTGTAAGTTCATGGAAATGCTTTTATTTTACATTTCAGCAATTTAGGTTATTAGAAGTATACCTAAAATTTATTTAACCTTATCCAATAAAAACAAAAAAATCCAAGAATTTTTTTATAAGCTGGATAAAAAAAAGGGAACATTACAGCTGGTTTTACCAGTATCAACAATATGTAAAAATAACCTAGCTTAAACCATAACAAAATAAAATGACTTAGCTTGTCCAAATGGCCTCCCATATACTGATTCATAACAGCCATCCAATTAACTTCCATTTAAAAAATTGAATTTGTAGAAAAAGCTGATCTAACTTTCAACTTTTTTTATCTTAATTCTAACAAACTAATTTTTAAATATGGGCAATTGTATAACCTTATTAATGAACAAAATTAAATAAATTAATTCAAATCTAGTTAAATTTCATCTATTTATTTAAGCATGACATTGTACCAAAACTGTAAAATACATGAGCCATAAGCTGCTATAAAAAATTGTCATAGAAACATTGAACATGTAAACAAAATTCAACAGATACCGCTCTGTTCCTGACAGAGTTTTGAAAAATAAGGTAAATATATCACAATGCAAGTGGAAGACATCACTATTCGAACAATTATTAAAACATGATATGTATTTTCATGAATCAAGAGAGATAACTCTATCTAAATACTATTATTTCAGGCAAAATTCATCTTTGCTGAAATAAACTTACTTTCAAGATGGAATAAGATAGAGAATTTTTTTTAGTAAATGCAATATTTTTTAAATCAAGCATACTTAAAGATAGGGCAGTAATTCCTTTCTTTCGAGCCTTAATAGTAAAGTAATTAAAAATATTTTATCCTATTTAAGCTTAACTTTTAGCTTCATAACTCTGAAAATCATAAAATGTTATTGGTACTTAGAATTGTAAAACAGGACATAGGAATATAAAATTCCTAAATAAGACCAGAATATACACAACTCACAATAATTATAAATCCTACATCAGTATGTATGATACACATTTCTAATGTCAAATTATAACACCTTCCTCTAAATTTGATATTGTGACATTATCAAAAAGGTGTCCATATTTGACAACATCTTTTCTGAAAGAACACATAAATGTACCATCATAATTTTTTTGAGAATTTAAAGAAACACCACCATATTCATGTGCAATACAATAATTCTAGATAGTTCAAAATTCGATTTTTTTAATGCTCCCCAAGCATTATATTTCATTTTTGAATATTTAAATGTCTTTAGTGGAGAAATATGGTATCACACTTGATACAGTGGTCGAGTCTATATTTCTCTGCAAAGTTTCCAAAGCACCTACTTAATCCAGAACTTATAACTCAAAGTCGACACTCACAGCCACACCAGTCGATCATTTAAATTCAAATAACACAGAAAACAAATATAAGTAATCAAACATTTTTTCACACACAATTAATAGTCAATAACACAATAACATTAGTGATCAAACAATTACATTTGTGATCAAACAATAACATTAGTGATCAAACAATTACATTTGTGATCAAACAATTACATTTGTGATCAAACATTTACATTAGTGATCAAACAATTACATTTGTGATCAAACAATTACATTAGTGATCAAACAATTACATTTGTGATCAAACAATTACATTTGTGATCAAACAATTATATCATTAAAATATTTCATCTGGAGACATTAATCTATTCTCAAATTCTAAACATAATAAGTATCATTCTCTAAACAATAATTTCATCATCTTACACTAATTATAATAATTTTCAATTTCATTCTTTTGTTAAGATAATCAAGGAGCTAAAAAGAGTAAACATTATAACAATCCCTTTAACATAACAATTTATAAACATAAAATATTAATAGAAATCACAACAAAAATAGGAAGTATAAATGCACAAGTTTATCTGTACATGAATAAACATTATGAACACTAAAATTTATATTAAAAAATAAACATGGACAGTCACTGAAATCCCAACCCAAGATACAATAATTTTACACAGCAGTGAATTGATAATGGCAAATCTTTAAATAATATTACTATAACCAAGCCAATATTAAAACTGTGTGATACTCATATTCAAAACTTACATTGCTTTCATAAAACCAGGAAAGTGATCAATCTCCTTACCCTTTTTCCATATTCTTTAATGACTTTTCTGAGGTCTTTCCTTTTTCCTATAGTATACAATCCTTGTAAGAATTCTGGTCACTCTTGAGGTTTAACATCCTCTGAAGACAAAGGAGTATGCTGGGATAACACATTAGATTCATCGTAAGTAATGCTATGAGTAGACTTGTTATGGCTAACAGGTAATACAGCATTCGGATTGACATGATCTGGCATCTGGGGCATGTTGTATGGACAAATGGCATTGGATCCATAAAACTGGTAATATGGTTGAGGTTCCATGCACATACTGAATGCATCACGATCAATTCCAGTTTGTTTTGATGCCAGTGGTGAGCCAAAGAAAGCATTTGGATATGCTTCATGTGAGTTGTATGTCCTATGAAAATTCTGTATATCATATTCATTATAAAATGCATGAGGTCCTGTGCTAAAAGAGTATGGTGACTGCTGCTGATCTGGAAGGAAAAAATGTAAAGAATATCAAATTGAGTAGCCAGGCTGCTACTTATAAGTACAAAAATCTAGTTAACTTCAACAGCATTTTAAAAATAGCAACAGTAGCATCTGAAATTCAGTTCAGACATTCAACAAAGGGTTATAAAGCTGCAAATTGGTCATCACCACAGTATCTTTATTCTTCAGTTTATTTCCATGCAACCTTAAATTGTTATAACTAATTTCTCAATTGATTTCTGCTAACAAAAACAAAACTTTTGAACATTGTTCAAGCATTCAACTATAATGAAGTTATTTGTAAATGTATTAAGATGCAATCCCTTCTTTATCTAAAATTCAGTTGCATTGTCTTTTTACAAACTAAATACATGTACATACCCATGACAGCTGATCCAGGCCTTGACATGGGTGGTTCATATTGACCGAGTGTCAAAGCATTAGATATACAGCTTGTTGATGGAGGCGATGACAAAAACTTGTCAGCCTGAACAAGGAAACGTTTGGTTGACTTTGAACTCATAAAGGGATCATTATCTAAAATAATTAAAAGTATCATTTACTCAATGCTTGTGATTTTAATGTGTTTCCTGCGTTTTGTTGGAATATTCTCTTAAAATGCCTGGTCGGGAATATATTACAATTAGTTGTCACCTACTGTTCTGATACTGTAAATACATATATTTTCGTGGGTACCAATTTTCGTAGATATTTCGATTTCTTGGTTTTGCCAATGTCTGCATTCAAGCTTATAGAAAATATAGGCTTCGTTGGAACATTTAAACTAATTGTTTTCCATTACCTACAAAATCCACGAAAAAGTGGTATTCAACAAATAATAATGAATCCACAATAATCACTGTAATTACATTTCCAAGAGTTGTTGATTAAACTGTACTATTAAAGAAAGGTACTGTGAAAGTACTTTTATTTGTGGGACATCGATTTCATGGTCTACAGACATTAAACTACTTAATTAGAATTCAGATGTATAAATGGGCATCAAAGACTGAAGAGTTTTCAAACAAACAAATATAGTAAATAAATGGGACAAATGCAAATAAAACAAAGTCTTCACCTTTTATTCCTTCACTGGGATACTGCTGTCCATAGCCAACAGCCTTCATTTCATTATTATTTCTGTAAAAAAAAAAAGTATCTGAATGACAGTAAAGACTGAAATAATCTAGAAATTAAACTTCTTGAAAACTTTTAGCATGGCTGGAATTATAATTAGAGTAATGTATGTAAATAAATATAGACTGTTAATTTTATATTACCTTGACCAAAAATTATCATGTACAGGTAAATATTTCATATCAAATGTAAATGCACTTTCTTAAAAGAAGAAATATGTTTGCAATGTAATAAAATATATTCTTTCGACTTACATATCTGTATCAACAGTTGATGAAACAGCATTTGAGTCAGCCTCTTCTTTCTTGGATTTCTTCTTTTTGCTTGGTGTAGGAGATTCTGGTATAGTGGAATCCCTGGCCAGTATATCAGTAATCTTCAAAAAATCACACAGAAAAAATTATTACAATCAAAGCACTGTGGATACTGTAAGAAAGCCTACCTGACTAAACAAAAAACAGAATATCCATACATATAAATAATATATTACATTAGTTCTCAACAAACATATTATTTAAAGCAGTACCCAGTTGTTGAGAGCTCACTTTTCAAGTATATATGTATTGAAAGGGATATACATGCAACTTAATTTGTTAAAAATTCTTATCTTAGCAGAATTTTTTATTTAAATAATCAAATGAGGGCAAATTACATTTAAATACCCAGGCAGGTCAATACTTATGTATATTTCATTTGAATGAGATTTATTGAGAATGCGACAATCTCTGCATCTTTAAAATTCTTTTTATGGCTGAAAGGAAGAACTATTGTAAAATATCTGACCTAACCAAATAAGCAGTTACTTTCTATTGACAGTAAAACATCATCAGCCCATACTTATTTTGCAAATCCTCCAATTTGCTATATTGTTAACTATATATAATCCTCATTGTTAAAGATTTCTAAAATTGGACCTGGAATTGATTTTATCCAAAACAAAATTAAAACATTTTCCAAATTTTCATACATACTTGGTTTTGAAAGTCTTGAGGAAGAGCTGCATTGACCAGTTTAATGAAGTCTACACACATTTCCAAAATAGATGCCATATCAGTCTTACGACCCCTTATGTATGGTAGCAGAACACGTAACTGATCACAACTGTCCTTGATTCGTTCTCTAAAAAGGAATGATTATTGAAAAAGAGAAAAGTAAGTTTAATTCAATTTCAATTAGAGACATCCAATTTCTGCTTTATATATATAAAAAAGGTAAAACATTCTTGTATTATCTCCCATTAAAACTTACTGAAAACATATTTTAGCTTACAGTATTATTTCGCTCAATTAATCAATGAGAGTTCCTTATTTTATAAATATAGAAGATATTTTCAGAAATATTATATATATTAATTTTTAAAGCTAGCATTTTACACTTTTATTAGGGTCTGGATGGGGTTTCAGAATAAAGAAAATTGGACCAAAAAATATAGAAATAGAGAATAAGTGTGTACTAAAAATAGAAATAGAGTGATGAAGAATAATGTAATAGAGAAAAGTGGAAAAAAAAATAAAGGAATAGAGCAAAATGGCCTAATAATTCAAGAATACAGAAGAAAGATACTCCATCCGGACCCTCTTTTATTACAAATAAAAAATGACTACCATATATGCCATTCATATGTCTCTTTACAATTGTTTAGTAAATAAAATTTAGCAATCAGGAAGGTAAAAACAGCGGATATACCGTAATAAGACTAGGTATGCTGTATGCAATTGGACTGCTAAAATTGATGACTTGGCTAAGGCTCTGCTAGTATAAAGAGCAGTTTGGAGATATTTTTGGCAGTTCAGTTTGATGAGACAAACTCAGACTGTAATTTGGTCAGATTTTTACTTGACTAATGTAATAGAATAGAAACAGTTGTTGCTGCTGTCAAGTCACAGTATAGACAGTTGTTGCTGCTGTCAAGTCACAGTATAGACAGTTGTTGCTGCTGTCAAGTCACAGTATAGACAGTTGTTGCTGCTGTCAGTCAAAATATAAACAGTTGTTGCTGCTGTCAAGTCACAGTGTAACAGTATAGACAGTTGTTGCTGCTGTCAGTCAAAATATAAACAGTTGTTGCTGCTGTCAAGTCACAGTATAGACAGTTGTTGCTGCTGTCAAGTCACAGTATAGACAGTTGTTGCTGCTGTCAGTCAAAATATAAACAGTTGTTGCTGCTGTCAAGTCACAGTGTAGACAGATGTTGCTGCTGTCAAGTCACAGTATAGACAGTTGTTGCTGCTGTCAGTCAAAATATAAACAGTTGTTGCTGCTGTCAAGTCACAGTGTAACAGTATAGACAGTTGTTGCTGCTGTCAGTCAAAATATAAACAGTTGTTGCTGCTGTCAAGTCACAGTATAGACAGTTGTTGCTGCTGTCAAGTCACAGTATAGACAGTTGTTGCTGCTGTCAGTCAAAATATAAACAGTTGTTGCTGCTGTCAAGTCACAGTGTAGACAGATGTTGCTGCTGTCAAGTCACAGTATAGACAGATGTTGCTGCTGTCAAGTCACAGTATAGACAGTTGTTGCTGCTGTCAAGTCACAGTATAGACAGATGTTGCTGCTGTCAAGCCACAGTATAAACAGTTGTTGCTGCTGTCAAGTCACAGTAAATACACTATAATTGTGTACATAAAATTGAGAATGGAAATTGGGAATATATCAAAGAGACAACAACCCGACCAAAGAGCAGAAAACGCCCGAAGGCCACCAATGGGTCTTCAACTCAGCGAGAAAATCCTGCACCCGGAGGCAGGCTTCAGTTGGCCCTTAAATAAAAATGTGTACTAGTTCAGTGAAAATGGACTTTATACTAAACTCCAAAACATATAAATGAACCGTATTTAAATGTATGTCCAACTATTACATCATATATGCTTGCTTTCATCAATGCATGAAATGAGGTGCAAATCTAAAAAAAAAATATTGTATTTAAGGAGCTCCTGAAATATTTCAGGGCCTCCAAAATTCAAATTCAGAATGTCCATAAACCATTAAGGACCTCCTGAAATATTCTAAGACCTGCATAATTCGATTTCAGGATATCCTGAAAATTTCAGAGACCTTTAATTTCTATTTTACATAAATAAAGGTAGAAAATGTTTTGATTATCTCCCATTGAAACATTGGAGTTCCATAATTCTATATTTCAGGACCTCTATACTTCGATTTCTGGATATCCCTAAAAAGAATTGTAGAGATCTTTAAATAATTGTGGACCTTCATAAATATTTAAGGAAATTGAAAACAAAACATGCATTTAACAGTAAATTTTAATGTACTCTACAACATTGCTAAACAAGGACATATACCTTCGAACTTTTTCTTTAGTTGTATGATCATTAGCAGACTGTTGTTTAAGTTTTTCGGTCTGTTGTCCATTCATCTGTGAAGTCATACATTTCATAATATTTAATCCACCAAGCTGGGCAAGACTAAGTTGACCAGACTTGTTGTCCACAGAAATACTGAAGTAAAGTTATCTTATTAGAATACACATGTTAGCTGTGTCAACATTTCACTTACATTAGGATCTAGCAATGCTCTATTATACTTTCTTTTGGAAAATCTTTTTGGGGATCCTTGGGATTCATCCTTTCAACAGTTTAGCGGCAGGAATTTCATTAGTTGACAAAATTATCAAGCAGAAAGAAGAGCAGAGCGTGGTCAGATCCTTCTGAAGCATTGATATAGGCTCTGTATTTCAATCATATTGGAAGTGAATATATTTATATATATATATATAAGTTTTCTAAAATATTATTACCTGGAGACTTGATTTTAGGCAAAGCTATCAAAGAAAGATATATGACAAATTTTTTTTAAAAGTTTCTGATCAGACTCCACTACGAAACTTGATACCAGTTTGTAAAATTCAGATAGAAATAGAGGAACATGAGACATGACCACAGATTTACAAAATATCCATACTGAGTAAGTATAACTACTGAATAATATCAATGAATTTTAATAAGTGAAACTGCAAGCTAGTATACTGCTCACTGATGATACTCCCGCCCAAATACTTGACGGTAAACAGGAAGTTGTTGAGTGATGAATCTGAAAACACATCACATGGTATAGCTGACTTATACAAACCATGAAACTAAATTTCAGAAATCCTTGTATTGTAGTTCCTGAGAAAAATGTGACGAAAATTTTCAACTTGGCTATCATGTGAAAAATGATACAAGTGTTCGGTAAACAGGAAGTTGTTGAGTGATGAATCTGAAAACACATCACACGGTATAGGTGACTTATATAAACCCTGAAACCAAATTTTAGAAATCCTTGTAATGTAGTTCCTGAGAAAGATGCAACGAAAAAATATTCATGGGACGGACGGACTGACGGATGGATGGACAGACAGAGGTAAAACAGTATACCCCCACTTTTTTAAAGGGGGATATAAAAAGTGGCGTTTCACACCCAGTTTTTTCATGTTTATGTTATTTAAAAAGCTCATAAGTGAAGGAACTTTTAAATATTTTTATTTCACTTAATTGACTTTTCTTTTAAACAAGTTATAACTTCTAGAATACTGTTGTTACACACACTTTATGCTATAGATACCATAAGGAGCATTCAGTTTAACCTCAGATGAAATAGGTCCAGTGGTTTCAGAGGAGATTTTTTAAAAAGTTAAGGGATATAAATAAGACAAGACGACAACGGACACAAAATGATTGCAAAAGCTATAACGGCCTTGGGGGACTGGTGAGCTTAAAAAAAGAACTGCACTTTCTCGCTGTTCTTCATCTTGACAGTTACTTGAAAGTCAACTTATATATATTGTAAATTTAGAAATTATTGTGATGTTTTAATTATTGCGAAAAATGCGACAGGGTTATCATCGCAATAATTAAAACTCGCATTTTGAAATTTTTTATATGAATCAAACAGGATTTTTCTGAATATCGCAAAAATTAAAATCGCATTTTAGTCTAAAATGACAAAATCGCAATAATAAATGCACACAATAATTTCTGAATTTACAGTATCATGTAATACATATTTGTAAGAATCCAAGATACTGTATATTTCTATAAGCATGGAACAAGAAATAATGATATAATGTTACCTAAATCCACCTCTTATGGGTTGTTCTGCACATATAGTTGTAGAAGGTGACATTGGTGTACCAGGGTTTTCAGAAGATGATGGAATTTCTTTAATGTCCATCTCAGAACAATCCAAATCCACTAAAAAAAGAACTTTACAATTATATACTGTAAATTCAGAAATTATTGCATGCATTTATTAAAGCAAATTTTATAGCAAGGACTAAAATGCGAGATTAATTATTGCGATTTCAGAAAAATGTGCATAAAGTTATATGTATCAGATATAAGTATGCGAATTCTCATCAATGCGATACTCTTTCAGTCGCATTATTCGCATCAATAAAAACCTCGCATTAATTTCTTAATTTACAGTATTCTTATCCTAAAAATGTACAATTTTGTGGGCAGAGAGATTTTAAGCCGTGTATATGTGTTTATATATATATATAAAAAGAGAGAGACTCTTTTAAAATAACCAGTTAGTCTTCATATCAATTGTGAAAAATAATATGTACCAAAGATTTTTGCTTTGATAAGATTGGAACCTGATAAAACTACCATAGAGGGAATAGACCACTTTCGAGTTCATCCTTCACCGGAAAAAACTCGTCAATTATGCGCGCCTTTATGACGTCATTTACCAGATAGAGGGGATCGCCTGTATCCCTGCACTATTAACGTTCATCATGCGTCTTAGTGATCGTCATTGTGCAGGATAAACTAGAAATAATGTTTGTTTTGTAAGTACTTAATCACAATTCCCTAATGACAGTAGTGCGGATTGTCAATTATGAGAATTTAATTTGCCGAATAATTCGTGCAATATAGCATAATAGTTTTCCAACCACTTGCTCAACATTGGAACGGAAGTGACGATGCCCCTAAACGCACGAATGATGTTCACTAAAACCAGAGTTTTTGACGGAAATGCATCGAACTCGAAAGTTGTCTATTAAATTTAGTTTCTGCTAAAGGTCTTATTTAATCAGTCTTTCAAATATCTCCAAAAGTTTTGTATACATTATTTCATTATATCTAATACCATTGAAACAATATTTGTTTTCATCTTCAGTCTAAATAACACTGGCTTATAAAATCGTTTTTATATCCATTTACTTCATATAGAAAAAAAGTATAGGAAAAAAGCAATAAAAGCAGAAACTAACCAGGAATAATAGTGATGGATGTCCATTTGGAGTATTTCTGTCGAATGAGTCCATCTTCCACAGGTTCAAGAACAATTTCATCTATACCATGACGCCTTAAATCAACTACAATAGTTACATATTTATTGAATATTATAAGTAACAGAGTGAGTGTCCTAGTGACCTAATACGATATACCGGTATATGGTATCAGAAATTCCATATGGGGTGAGAGCGACCTAAGAAGATATATATGAGGTCAGTAAATTCCATATAGGGTGAGAGCGAAGCTCGAACACAACATGGAATTTACTAATCCCATATATATCGTATTAGCTGGTCACTAGCACACTATGTAAAGAATTTATCTTACCGACTATCTTAACATGTGGCATTTAGACTAGTGGCCTATCAAAGCATTCAAGTCTTTAATATAAAGAACCTTCTTCCATTGGTCTATACAAAAACAAATGCCAACAATAACAGCTTGTAAGCTTTAAATGTGTTTCCCAATTGCAAACTTTCCATTTTTATTTAAAAACTGGACATGATTTTCCATAAAGTACTTGTTGTGGGTAAAATTGTATTTAATTAATCTCGATTGTCAAGTTAACCAAACCAAAACAGATTTGAATATATATACATGAAAACACAACTACGAGCCCCTTGTCCTCTGAGTCTCAGACTGTTTAATAAAGGAAACTTTTCTTTTCACTTGCTGATTTAAGCAGGACCACTTGGCTGAGTTTTTATATTTTCAATACCAATTAACTGCAATTGTTAGGTTACAGAGGCAGTGTGAGCATATGTTTCTGTATAAATTGCATTCTAGTTTAACTATACATTTTTACCATACCTGAGGAAATATCATTTGCTACACCTATTATAACTGTGCCTCTGTTGCATTTACTGGTATATCTAAAAACATTGAAAATGGAGATTAATAGTTTGAGGTCAATAATGATCTTATTTTTATCAGAGACATATATATATGTCTGTTTCTATCAATGCTATATTTTACAAGATAAACAAGAAATAATTGTAAAGGATGCTGTTACGAAGTCTCCCAAACGAAGCTCCCATAATTCGTCATGCCCACGGTCGCCTTACATTGGGCAAAGTCCAGTCAAGTTATATGCATTAGTGATGCCTGGGGACTGACCGTGTATATCATTCAAATCTTCGTGAAATGACGAACAGGAATATATATGGTTTAAGGGTGGGGATCTTGACCATTTACAAGATATTTTAACAAATTCAAACAACAGGGGATGGGGATGACACCTTTGGTCTTACCCTGTATACCATTCAAATCATCTTGGCATGACAACCCAGAATATATATGGTTTACGGGTGGGGATCTCGACCATTTACAGGATATTAGAACATTGGGGTGGGGGGAACCCCTGGGGACTGACCCTATACATCATTCAAATGTTTGAGACATGACGAATAGGATTATATATGATTTAGGGGTGGGGATCTCGACCATTTACAAGATATTAGAACATTGGGGGTGGGGGGAACCCCTGAGGACTGACCCTATATATCATTCAAATCTTCGAAAAATGACGAACAGGAATATATGATTTAGGGGTGGGGATCTCGACCATTTACAAGATATTAGAACTTTCTCAAATAGCAGGGGGTCGGGATGACCCCTGGGGACTAACCTTGTATAGCATTCAAACCATCTTCGCATGACAAACCAGAATATATATGGTTTAGGAGTTGGGATCTTGACCACTTACAAGATATTAGAACTTTCTCAAATGGCAGGGGTTGGGGTGACCCCTGGGGACTAACCCTGTATTTAATTTGATGTGCTTTATCATGACAAATCAGAATATATATGGTTTAGGGGTCGGGATCTTGACCACTTACAAGATAATAAAACTTTCTCAAATGGCAGGGGGTGGGGATAACCCCCGAGGACTCACCTTTTGTTTCATTAATGTGCTTTATCATTTAGAACATTTTCAATTAAAGATCATGTCTATCACTAACTGTTTTCAATTTATAATCATTTGAAAATTTAAAAAAATCCCATAGGGTTCTATAGTAAAACCCTCCTTTCTTTTTGACCCTCAAAGTGTAAATGCTCTTTTGTTACGACGTTGGAAAGTTCCAGGCGGAAAGAACTAACTAGCCGAAAAGTTCCGGAACTTAAGTTATTAACTAGTTACTTTGTTCTTCCTCTGGTTTAAAAGTTCCACCGGAACAAAGTGACTAGTTGAAAAGTTCCAACTGAACATATCAACTAGTTATAAAGTTGATGATAAACATACTTTTTAACCTACAATATGAAATCAAACTGACTAAGAAAACAATCCAATTGCACGTGGTCACTATTGGTTTATATTTATGTGTTTATATCGGGTTATATGACCGTCGGCAGTCTTCCAAGGTCATCTCGATGGTTAATTAGATGGCGTCTAGACAAAAATACACACGAAATGTTGATACATATTATCGAGTTCATGCATTGATAATTTTTTATTTTAGACTTTTCAAAGAAAATGAGGTCAAGGTCAGATAAACCAAGCCAGAAATACATGTACACCTTAAAATCATTCCATACACCAAATATAGTTGACCTATTGCTTATAGTATACAATAAACAGACCAAACCATGAAAACCTTATATTAAGCAAAGAACCATGAAAATGAGGAGATGAACCCTGCCAGACAGACATAGATATACATGGTATGAAGCATCCAGGTCTTCTACCTTCTGAAAAATAAAGCTTTATACAAATAGTTTACACCACCGCCACCGCCGCCAGATATTAATCGCCATGTCTCGCAAAGCTGGGACAGAAATGGATGACCTTTCTTGCTTCCTTTTTTGTCATTAACTCTCCTTCTTTATACCCTTTCAATTGATCCTAACCTCTTTCTCCCTTCCTATGTTCCCTTGCTCAAATAGAACTATTTCGCCTTATCTACATTGCTTACTGATATTACAAGGGCTAACAGTGTCTCTTAACAACAACTAATAGCCAACAGGAACTTGTCACTTAATAGGCATGCATATGATAATCATATTTTGAAACGATAACAAAATCGTTTAAAAAAGTTTGATATAACAGTGCATATGTTTAAATGCATAATTTACGATGGATGGTGGTCTCTAGTATAGATGCTGGTCATGGGTATTAATTTGTTTGTATGTATGTTGTAGTTTGTATTTGGTTTTTGTCATAAACATGTTTAATTTGTTTATAAGACAATAAAAACTATCAATAATCAACTCAATAAGTTAGTTACCTAATAGATGTGGTCAAACTAAGGATATCTGGTCCAACAGGCATGTCCATCAGCAACCAGATAAGAACAAACCCTTTGTTATTACACAACTCCAACGATTCTTCTTGTTTACAAATTTGAATTTCATGACAGTTGGTCAGCTGCTGGATCTTGCTCTTCAACAGAACAGCTTCATCACCTTCACCGATTACAAGCGAGATGGCATTCATTTCAGATCCCTGTAAAATAAAACACGAGTGCACACGCTAAAATGTCTCGCCTGCTTTTCTTATCATTAATGAATTTAATACCTTACACCGCAGATAGTTAGCCTATTGCTTATAGTATCTAATTACGAAAATTGAACATTGACTAATGTACTATAAAAATGACATTGGCAGACTAGCCCTGTCAGACAACATGAATACCATGCAATTATTCCATACAACGAACGTATATGACCTATTGCTTATAAGATCTGAGAAACAGACATAGCTATGAAAACTTTACATTGACTAATGAACCATGTCAGACAGACATGTTCAATTGACAATGATTCCACACACCAAATATAGTTGACATATTGCTTGTAGTATCAGATAAACGGACAAAACCATGAAAACTTAACTTTGACCAATGAACCATGACATTGAGGTCAAGGTTAGATGAAATCTGCCAGACAGAATTGTACACATTACAATCATTCTATTCACAAAATATAATAGCCCTATTGTTTATAGTATCTGAGAAATAGACCAAACGGGAAAAACTTAACATTATCCTATGAACCATGAAAAAGGTCAAGGACAGATGAAAAACTGCCAGACAGATATGTACACCTTACATCATTCCTCACACCAAATACAGTTGACCTATTGCTTATAGTTTCTGAGAAACAGACAAAACCACAAAAACAAAACATTGACCAATGATCCATGAAAATGAGGTCAAGGCCAGTCGGACATGTAGTAACACCTCACAATCATTCACAAATCAAACATAGTTGGCCTATAGCTTATAGTATCTGAGCTACGGACTTGACCACGAAAACTTAACCTTGACAACTGATCCATGAAACGAGGTCGGGGTCAGATGAACTCTGTCTGACGGACATGTAGACGTTGCATGCATCCAATATACGAAATAAGGTTACCATTTTACTCATGAGTATTTCACATGACAAAAAAAACTCTAAATTAAACTATTGACACAGGTATGTCTCGCCTGTCGGCAGAAAATTCAGAAAAAGACAATCTGGTGGACAGCAACATTGCTATTGATTCAAAGTTGCTGGACCATGACCTATGGAACAGAGCCTCGAAATAGTCCTCAAATTGATATATATACTGAAAGTAATGCAACTTTAATAGAAAATATTGATCTATCAGATACAGTTCCTATCAAACTGACTTAAGCAGAAAAAACTTTTAAACATTGAAAATTCAAAGTCACTAGCCTCAAAATAGTCGTTTTAAATATTATATGTATTGATGGTAATGCATACTCCCTATGTCTCGCAATCTGCGACAAGACAAAAACTACAAGCTCCAGGAAGTCAGTATCGTTCACTTTTTTCGTTCCATACACAAAATATAGTTGACCTATTGCTTACAGTACTTGAAAAACGGACAAAAGCACAAAACTTAACATTGGCCAATGAACCATGAAAATGAGGTCAAGGTAAGATGAAACCTGCCAGACTGACATGTACCCCTTACAATCATTCCATATACACCACATATGTCTAACAGACATGTAGACGGTATATGGAACCCATATACCAAATATAGCTATCCTATCACTCATAATAAGTGAGAAATGCACATGACAAAAACACTATTTTTTTTTTAAAGTCGCCGAACCATGAAAATGAGGTCAAGAACAATAATTGACATACTTTTTTATGACAAACGGAAACTTCGTAACATAAGGTATCTGCAAACAAGGTATGAAGCATCCATGGCTTCTTCCTTCTGACATATTAAGCTTTATACAAATAGTCAAGTTACACCGCCTCCACCGGATAGTAATCCCTATGTCTCGAAGGGCGAGACAAAAATGAATGACCTCTCTACCTTTTTTGTCATTAACTCTCCTTCTTTATACGACTTTTGTCGCTGATTTGGTTTTATTGCCAATGAGACAACTATTCACTAGATTTCCAGTGATGTGGATATAAGCAATTATAGGTCACCAAAACTGAAGAAAACCCATACTGTATAGTCAGCTATAAAAGACCCCGACATGAAAAATGTGAAACAATTCAAACGAGAAAACTATTAACGACCTGATTTATAGCAATAAAATTTACAAAAAACAAATACAACAGACATGAAACAACAAAAACCACAGAATCACAGGCTCCTCACTTGGGACATATAGAATGTTTGTTCGCGCTCAACCCTCCACTAACATCTGACAGTAGTGTAACTGAAAGCAAACTCATAGTTCTTAACCTGTTGACCTTCTTAGACTAGTACAAGCAAAACAAAACTTAGTATTAGAAATATTCGTCGCTTCATAAAGCGAGCTCAAATTAATTCATCTTCATGATGATATGAATATTTTTGACAGTAACTCTAATATTTAGCGGCTTTACTTCCGAGTAACTTTAATACGACAATTGAAAGTTTAATGTTGAAAGAAGAACTTTATTCCGTTTTTCATGGACTCAATTGTGCTATTCTAATAACAAGTCTATATTAAGAATGATGTGATACGTTGTTGTTTGAAATATTTGGTTGGTTTTTGGACCAATATTTTTTTCATTGGGGTACATTGTGGAGAGGTTGCTTTTAGACTGGTTGATGGTTTTAAATGATATCTTGACTGACCAAGCGATTACTGGATTCGACGATTATAACATCATAAAGTTATTTTTTTAATTCAAACACACCTACTCAATTACGGTGACTCATTACAAAAATATTTCAATTGACCTATTGATTTGGATTCTAGTAATGTGAATTTTGAATGTTATTATATCAAACGCGCTTGAATATATCAGAGACATATAAATACATGTCTCTGAATATATAAAAGGTGTTCCCGACTTTCTCTAAACGGAAATGTCGTTACCCATTTTATAGGATATTTTTTCTGAAAATACTGTTGGTTTGGGCAGAAATGCAAACTGATGCTTTTAACATATCAATTTCTTTAAGGTACATCGGGTGTCTTCGGCCATCTTGGATTGTTAAATAACAGAAAACCACCGGACTAGATCTTTAATGAAATGTGCAAATTTTGAGAGAGGAATGTAATACATTTGTAATAATGTTCATCTTAATGAAGAAAATTGTGCGTTCTATCTTATTATTTACACCTGTTTTTTACAAATACAGAATCTTATTGTTTGATTAAATTTTTGTTCAACTTTGCCCTATAAGGTGAGATAACTCAGACAGTAACTTTTATAAAGGAATATCTAAAGAATTTACCTTTTTTGTTTTGTGTCAAGAAAAAGAGGCCCGTTACCCTAATTTTTATTTTTATTTTCAGAAAGCACATCATTCTAGCTAAGTTTTCATATTTTATCTATCATTTAGTTTTCTATCACACAAAATTGTGGTTTTCATGCAAATCCATACAAAATCTGTCAATTTTGCACAACCTAGCTTGAAGAAAAGCCCCGTGATCCATACTTTTTATTATACTTGTGAAAAAAGCATGATATGAACTACATTTTGGCAAATTATTAAAAAAAAATCTATGGATTTTAATTTAGACCCTCCGTCAACCTTAAGTGGATTTTTTTTTCAAAGTAATCTATGGATATGTATCTTTAAGATTCAAAAGTATTTGCAACTACCAAAAATGAGTTGTTTTGTGACCTTTTGTCTATGATAAATGCATTATAATGCTTTATACTAACTTTGTGTATAATTAAGTATACTGAACCGCAAAAGAAACGTCGCAGTAATTTGAGGCAAAAATGATACAAGAAAATGCCATTTTTTTTATTGAATGGGCGTACAAAAATCATTGTTATTTCACAAATTCACATCATTTCAGTTCATTCACTGTTCATTGATAAAGTTTTTCATCACCATATCACATAATAAATTAATACAGGTCACTAGTTAGTAGCGTGTCGTGTTGATTACGTCCCGGCATCTCCTATACGTGGAATGAATCAGACGGTTGATACAGTTCATAGGAATCCTAGCCCACACTTGCAGAAAAGATGCCTGTAGCTCCACAGCAGTTGTCGGTCTTGGATGGACGTCATTCGGTTTTCTCTGATTCTCGTACCACAGATGTTCTATGGGGTTTAATTCCGAACTAAGATCGGGCCAAGGCATAATCGTAATGTTGTTCTGCTACAGAAAGTCCCTTGTAGCTCTTGCAGTATGCGCACATGAATTGTCTTGCTGGAAAGTGACTGTGAGGTTTTGATGGCGTGCAAAATGTGGCACAACATGTGGTCGTAGAACTTGATCGATATACCGGGCTGCATTGACACCATTTCCTCTACCTGGTCCAAGATTCTGGATGACAACAGGCCCTAATTTCTGGTTCAAGCCATTTCCGTCCCATACCATAATGTTTGACCTCCCCAAACATCTCTTTCCATCATGCAGTTATCTGCATATCTTTCGCCCTGTTTTCTCTAGATTCGTGTACTGCCGTTTCTGCATTTGAAATGCAGTAACGACTTTCGTCTGAAAAGATTACCGTCCTCCACTGCTGATGTCGCCAATTCTGACGATGGGCGGCCAACTGTAGTCGTACAACTGCGATGACGTGGTGTGCGAATAGGACCTCTGGCAGGACGACGACAACTCATGTTACGACAATTTAATCGACGCCGGACTATATCATCATTAATTGGTCTCTGGTTAATGTATATTGTCTGACGAGCAGTATGGGTTGCGCAGAGGAACTGGTTTTGCAGATGCTGTCGTAAGATGTAGCGATCCTGACTCAATGTTGTTACTCTGGGACAACCGTACGTGAACGGTCATTTGTACTGGTATTTTTTTTGCATTGTAGCATTCACGTAGACGTTGGATGGTGCTTACATTGCAATGAAATGCATTTGCAACGACTTAAGGCCAATGTCTAGGATTTAAACACGTTCTATTGCCTGTGCTCTTTGTCGTGGGTTCAGTCGTGGCATCAGTACTGCATCAAACAGAAAATGATGACACAAAAACTTCGCACCTCTTGAATACCCTTAATGAGGCACGGATTCAACGTGAATATCATCATCATGAAATTTGACAAACTCCGTACA